ATACAGGTATGCATTTATTTATAAGGTTATATAAAGACTTTATAAATTCTTTATATGAATTTTGATGAAATCTTTATATAGAACTTATAAGACTTTTATTTAGAATATATTAACTTTTTTTTCGCGGGTTAAATCAGATTTTGAAATATAAAAAATATATTATATCTAAATATTTTTACAAATGTATATATTTATACTTTACATAAACTAGATACATATATAAATTACCTTATAATAATCTCTCTAATTTTTTTTAATAACACGTTTTTTATTAACACGCAAAATTTATTATTAGTTTTATTGTTACAAAATTTAATGATCTAGAATAATCATCTGCAATTTTTTCAGAATCTTTTCATTATGTTGAAAATATATGTAATACATTCTTAAATATATATATATAAAATCGAATAAAATCGGAAATGAGAGCATCAAGAAATCGTCATTTACTTTCAAGTCACGTGGATCTGTTTTATTCTTGACTTGTAAAAAATCAATTTCATGCTCGAATGAGTGGCTGCACGGCAGCGGTGGCATCGAAAAATCATTAGACTCCTCTATATATCGTGTCGCTGCGCTATCGCGTATACGTATATGCATGTAGAAGTCGTAGGCGTCACGCAGCTATCATAAATCCATTACGGAAGTATCTGAAGCTATAAAGCCGCGTGCACGCAAAATGACTGCATACGAGACCGCTCGCACCTACGTGTAATTAGTGCAAAAAAATGTCGTCACGGTTAAAAGTCATAAAGTAGATAAAACGACATTCCGTCTCGATAACAAAAAATTCTTTATGTATAGAAAAAAAATGTCTCTCTTAAAATAAAGACGTCTATCAACTGTCTCTTACTATTCCACTCTCTTTATGTCGACATATACACGAATTGAACTAACAATATTACAAAATATTATTAGATAAAAAATAATCCGGTTCCACCAATATAAGATTAACTTAATCTGGGTGTAATTTACTCTATATCTCTCTCCTTTTTTACTCCTTCTACGAATTAGAAAAAAATAAACAGTAAATTAGACCGCGATTAAAGTTAATCTTATATTATATATTAGAGCTGGACCAATCGATAAAATGTTCAATCGATAAAAATTCCTATTTCAGTTATACCATGATTTGTACATCAGTGATAACCTTTTGTTATTTTGCATGCAAATTTAACATTGCGCGCAGTAATATTTTCGCAAATATAAAAATATATTTGTTTGAATAATTTTAATATGAAGATAAATATTCGAATAGCATGGAATAGCAAGATAACACACGCACAACGAATTTAATTCATTTTGTGGTGTTAATTAACGATGTTTGAAGAAGAATCATCACCGTTGCATCTCGGCACGTCGGCAAAGTTAACGAATCGTTATTAATTAAATCACCAGTTCGCATAATTGCGATTATCAATATATTCTTAACATTTGCAATTCCATATAATTGGGATATTGTAATTGTATTGTTTATCAAGTAGGCTTGATTACGGGATGAGCGACGATACAACTGAATCCGTTTAGAACGTTGCACACGATAGCAGACCGGTATCTACCCAGTGACAAGCAATTACATGCCATGAATTCCTGCAGCCAATATGAGCGTCACGTCATAACAGGATTAAGAGGATCACATTTTTAAGCTCGAGTACACCCTTTCGCGCGAAGTAGGATATTACAAGCTCAGCAGGAGATGGCTTTACAACGATTTTTGCGAGAAGCGTTATTTCCATGCTCTGTACGCTTTTGCGGATTCTCCTAACAAATTGATGCTATTAAAGAAAAAGAACTTAATTTTATTTTTATTAAATTTTCAATTTCTAAAAGAAAAAGAATTATATCCAAAACATATTGGACATGAAGAATATGAGAATACAACATAAAATTTATTCAAAAACAAATGCTAGGAATACACGGAACACGCATCTATTTTTTAATTCTCACATATATGATTTTAATTATATAATAATAAAATTATTCAAAAAATTTACAAGAATAAATTGAATGTATTCTTTTCAACAATTTAATAATAATTTAATAAACTGGTAGATAATTAAAATTGATTTTTCATAAAATTTGTTCTACTCATCTCTAAAATCTCACATTTTGTTGTCAAGTAGAAACATTTTTAATTAAATGATATTAAAAAATTTATTTTTGAAATAATGTTTAATTTACTAACAGAAAATAACAATTTTTTATATAGAAAGAATGAAAATAAAGGAATAATTATATAAATAATTATATAAAACATAAAGATTTTATAAACCACATAAAATAATTGTATAAAACATATCATGATAACGTGAATATAATGATATAAAAAATAATACAAATCATTTCTTACTAATAAAGTTATTTTTTACTGTAATATAAAGACATCGTTAAAGTCATTTTAGAAAAAAATAATTTTATTTTTATTAATAAGCGAACATAATTAATTTAGTTCTTATGCAATCATTTATTGTTGTACGTGATATTTTAAATCAGAGTATAGGTATCTCTGTAGTACTGATAAAACATACAATTACTCGAAAGAACGAATTGATCACTTTTACCGCGAATATATAACAAAGTATACGTTACAAATATCGACTTGTTAGTACTTTTTCAATTACACTATACAATTACGGATTTAAAGTTGTACGGAGCTTCCAATAGGCGCTTGCAGTATTGCGTTACTTTTATTTTTCGCCAACTGGAAATTGATATAGAAATCTATTTTTTGATGAATCACGAATGTTCGGCAGCGATTAAAACATATCATGATAACGTGAATATATTTTCAATATATGAGACACAAGTTAATTAAAATCTATTAAAACAGATAAAAGCTAATTGAATCGCTTTTATTATTTGCATTTTGCTTTCTATTTTTTTAGCTTATAGAATTAAATTACTGAGAATTAATCTTTAAATATAATTGCATTATATATCATTTTTTATATTGCATATTTAATATTTTTAAATAAGATAGTTTATATATAAACAATAATTTTAGTTATATCAAAGAAGAGAATAATAAAAAAAATAATAGAACCGCAGAAATAATGCACGCTTATTTTTACAGGTAAATACTGTTAAAGCATTTAACTAATACTCAATAAATATATAGTGACATAAATATTCAAAGTTAAATATTTTTTTAAATAAGATATAAAGACTACGAGCCAAAAAAACATGTATACATTTAGACCAAAAACAAACAATATATAAAATACATAATTGAAGAATATAAACAAATTATTGCAAAAACAAAAGATTAATAAACAAACGTTTCAAACTCGCTCGGGTCATCTTCAATGTTCAAACGTATAAATTCAAATAACAATATGTATAGCGAACCTTACAAAATAGTTTACATATTTTTCCATTAATAGCTTAAAACTTTTTTGTTGATAGGAGGATAGTACATTCGAAACCATAAGTTATCTCGCGTTTACTGCATCCGTATACGACAACGGTAAAACATTCAAGTGTTACGCCGAAAATTCGGTTACTCGTACTGAAGACCTAAAACCAATGAAGGAAGCAACAACGATCGAAGTATTATGTAAGTATTACAAGTTGAGATGAGTTAGTAATTATTAGCATCCGTTATTCTTTTGCAATAATGTATTTTATGGCTTTATTGATAGGTATAATAATTTTGATTTTAATTCTTTACATTTGTATATTCATTTATTCATTTATCTGTCAAATATCCTCAAATTTTAATTTCCTAAGAAAAAATATATGTATAATTAAAAATATACACATAAAAAAATATATGTCTTTTTAAAAAAATAATCGCGAAGAGATTGAAATCAAAATTGTCATACAAAATCGAATCAGATTGGATTGGCTCAGGAAAGATAAAATACAATTTTATCTAAGCAAACATCCAGTAATCTCACAAACAAGTTGAATCAGATAATAATTGATTCCATTCATTCCACAAATAACAACAAAGGCAATATAAATTCGTCATTTTTCATAGTAACAATTACGGTTAATAGCGTTAAAATAGCGACTGCTGCAACAAGATTGTGTTGTAACTCGAAATTCACACATTTCCATACCACAGCAAGCATATTCTACATCTACGAGAAACTGTGAGCTACAAGAGCGGTTATTAACATTTGCATACACTTAGTCCTTATGAACCAAATCCTTTAAATAAATAACTCTACACATACCCGTTCGCTATTCATCAGCATAATGCTATGCAAATTAACATAACTTGGCAACGCTAGAATCAGTAGAATCTTAACTTGCTATCGAATTCAAAAACTCGTTCCTTATACTCCAATTAAATGTAACGTAAAATTTACATATAATTTTTGATGGAGAAAAGCTGAAATTGAGATTTTAAATAACCCATCATTTTGAGTTTAGAAATTGTAATAAAGTAGGCGTGCGTGCGTGCGTGCGTGCGTGTTTGTGTGTGTGTGTGTGTGTGTGTGTGTGTGTGTGTGTGTGTGTGTGTGTGTGTGTGTGTGTGTAGATTTATTCCTGTCTGCAAAGATTTCTAGCTATTTATGCTTCTATACTTAAAAATAACAATTTTCTGAAAATAGATCATAGTAGGAGAATAAACTTAATAATTTTAGAAAAAGAAAATATAAACGTAATTGAAAATCTTGCAGGCTTTTGAATTTTTACGGTGCAGAAATCAAAGTAAATGTATTTAGAAGGAATAATTGAAATTTTTGAAGTGATGGAAGTTAAGAAGCTTCATTCCAGAATATTTTTTCGTTTGAACATTTAATAAACATTTATTTTGCTCTTTCTGAGAGATTGGCTCACATAAGTCGTGCAACGTTTATACGATTTTCCAGTCGCATGCTTCAGTAGATCAACATCGATATATCGGACTTTTCCTCGCATATACCTGCAGATGCTTTTACAATATTTTCTTCTGATGGAATAATTTAATTTTCACAAATGTAATTTCATTTCCGTGTTATCCAAACATTAAAAAATGTGAAAGCTTTCAACTAATACTATATATTTGAAAATGGAAATATATTCACAGTTATAAAAAAAGTTATTAAATTACAATTTTAAAAATTGAAATAATTATTTTACATTATGCACAAATGAAAGAAAAGTTCCTTTTCTTTCTAACATTCTACGATAACGTATTATAGATCATCTTTTTTTAAAAATATCAATAATTATAGATCTATGATTCGTTCAACTCAAAATCATCATCAGTAGAGTTACGACTTTTTTAAGAATGTGATGTCTTGATTACGCGAGCACGGAAACAGACAAAAAGAGATGGACGATTGTGCATCTCCCTGATGTTTCCAGTTACAGTGCGAAATGGCGGAGAAACTTTCGTTTTGTAGCCAGAACGAGGACTACCCATGGATTGGAAACGAGAAACTCCAGACATCGAGTTTGGCACGTTTCCAACTCTCCGGCTTGCATCGTGACAGCAACTCTCGCGTCTACGTATTTACGAGAATTTTGTTTTATACCCCTTCCGTGTTTTCTAGGACTCGTTAAGTGCATAATATTGTGACCCGAGCGGATTTAAATTTTATATTCAATTTAAGTTCAGCGTTATCCATCTTGGAACAAAAGACAATCGTGAAGATAGAAAAATCTTTATAGTTTTAGATATCGAGAAAAGGAAGAGAATTTTTATTTCACAAAAAGTAAAATTAAAAATACATGATTCTTAAATAAGATAAAATGTCAAGAAAAATTAACTTTTCAATCTGTTTCTAATAATATAATAACGAAATATGTTAACTTAATTCTTCTTTAAAACATTTCATCTTCAACATCAGCTTGACAAGTATCAAAAAAATTGATATAAAAGATACAGACATAAAAAGAATTTTAATAAATTTATTAGCGTTGGAAAAAGAATCAGAATTATCTGTTTTTAATTAAACAATTTTTATTTAGCTATTATTACATTTTCCTTTTCTTCACTAGATTTTTCATTAATAAATATTTAATTTCTGTGTCTAAATCTTACACGTTGATTTTCATTGTTTGTAATATTAATTATTTTATGCTTTAGATCCGCCAATAATTAAAATGAAGCCAAACAACATAACCGTTAACGAGACAGACAACTTTTTAATATTCTGCGATTATGAGGCAAATCCGGCTACGCTACTAAAAGTGACGTGGTAAGTGGCCATTACTACATGAAGATATATACTAGCTTGAATGAATCTTTTAGGATAACGATCATTTTCCTGTGGGAAATAAAGGCTGGTTTTGTTAGATAAATTAGCAGCTCAAGACGTTTTTGTTTTATTCATACAGAGAGTAGCATTAAAGATATTTTTGTTTCCTTTTCATTGCTTTTATATCTTAGCAAATAAAGTTAATGCTATTTCCTCGTTTTATATATCTCTCTAAATCGGGTGATATAGGTTACGAGACGACGATGAATTAATGTTAAACGAAGAACATTACGATGGTGGAATCACAGAACAAACAGCACTCACAGTGAAAAACGCGACTCCTAGTGACATGGGTTCTTACAAATGCATCCTAGAAAACAACGCCGGTCCAACCGTTTCCGAGGATGCCGTACAGGTTTCAGTCTTTTGTACGTATCGTCTTTTATACAAGACAGATAACAGAAGTCAATTGCTAAATGTGATAAAAAGCAGTCGATAAAATCTAAAATCTTTACCATCTTACGAGGATTATAAAGCTTTGCCGGTTAGTAATAAATCTAAATCCAAAAGAATCCCATTGTACTTTTGGCAAAACCTTATCTTCTTATTTCTCGCGGCAGTAACTTTCCGTGAAGCGCAGTTAATCTTTTTATTAGAAAACGACAGCTTCATTGAAAGCTATGCGATTACATCGGGAATAAAGTTGAAAGGAACTCGGTGCGCGATGTACTTTCGAACTCGCGCGAGATTTATGCCGGAACAGATATATATATATATCGCGTTTTATTACATAGATAAACCAGTGGCAGAAGTGATAATGGATCCGGAAACACCTGTGAACGAGGCGGATCGTCAGAATGTTTCACTAACGTGCGAAGTCGACGCCGGTAATCCGGCGATACTGACAGCCGTCCGTTGGTATTTGGACGGAGATCTATTGAAAGAACTTCCGGATTGCTCGAGGAATAGCACTGCCATGACAACAAGCTCCGAGGAATCACTGGCATTCTGTGACATCGACCCCAGCAAGCTGCTGCTGGAATCTGTCGGCCGCACCTTCCACGGCAACTACTCCTGCGAAGGGAAAAACGAAGCTGGTTGGGGACCGACCTCCCCGAGCACGCCTGTCATAGTTTATTGTAAGTCCTCTTTGTCACCTGTCACTCATTCGTTACGTGATGATAGAACAGAAATTGGTGACGCCTATTACATTTCCCACTATAATACATTATAAGTCCATTATACGCGTGTTTCGAATTTTTTGTTTTTCAATGGCAAACAGAAATTATATTATATTCGAAATATTGATTTTACTTGTCAATAAAATTTTGATTTTATTTGTCAATAAAAATTTAAAGGAATGATGTTATAAATAATCCCGAGCTTCTGGAATATATTATCAAATAATATGTTGTAAAAGCAGTCGTTTGTGTTCAACATTAATTACTGCAGCAATAAATTATCGATTATGGACTTTATCTTGCATATGTACGTGACCAATATCGTTTATCTACAATATCTTATTATATATTAATCGAATTATATTTAGCATGGGATACTAGTTTGTCTCTCCCCCCCCCCTCTCTCTCTCTCTCTCTCTTTCCTTTCCTCCCTCTTTCTTCGTACTCTGCATCCCTGAAACATTTTCACAGATAAGCCCGGCCCGGCATCGATAACGTATGAACCTCGGCAAGTGGTGAAGAAACAAGCATTATCCATCACTTGCTTCGTTTTGGATCCCGGCCGACCGAGAGTGTCAGGCTTCAAGTGGCTGCGCGGCTGGCACCGACTTCCAGACGAGAACGAAGCCACACTTTTCATCGAGTCGGTTAATTTGGAAACCGAGGCGAATTTCACATGTCTAGCTTACAACGAAGCTGGTGATGGAGAACCAGCCACAACGTTTATCGACGTATCCGGTAAGTATAATACATACGTTGCGCTTATACGCGCTTAAAACTGTATCCAGCAATTATTGACTTTCATGACAACATTTCAAAATCCAACCTAATAGTGTAACATATTTAAAAATTCAAATAATTCAATTCACTTTACTTATTAGCTTATTACACATTTGAAACGTACATTTTGATCAAAATTAAATTTAAAAATTCTGAGAGAAATTCTAAATTATTAAGTTAGATATTCTTTTTATATCTTATTTCATTCAAATATCACCTAACGTATATATAGCGTATATATAATATAATATACAGCTATAAATCTCAAGATAAATCTAATGTAACATTAAGATATTATATTAAATTGATTTCTTCTATTCCTGTAAGCGATATAAATAGATTGTCCAATATTTTTTATAATTATTAAATGACAAATCCTATTATGCTTAATCGAGAGTTATTATTTCTCATTAGCGGCCCCGACGTTCATTAAGAAGCTCCATTCGTATCGCGGCTACGTCTATAATGCGCCTAACGTGAGCATCATGTGTTGGGTCGAATGTGCTCCGATCTGCACTATTTCCTGGCTGAGAGATGACATTCCCATGGACTTCACGAAAACGAATCGATACTACGTGTCGAACGTTTATCATCCACCTGACCCAAGGACCAACGACTTCGAGAGCATGCAATCGACTCTCATATGGAATCTGACGATCTGGCCGAATGGTCAGCTAGACCGTGCTGAGGATAACGTCAAATTTACCTGCAAGAGCAGCAGCAACGGAATCGGTGCGGGCGTGGAGAGTAGTACCCACTTTCATGTCGAGTGTACGTTTCATTCAAATCTCTTTTTTTGCACGGCTATATCTCTACTTGCTTACATTCCATTTTATAACGGTCCATTTATTTAGCGAAATTGTGGGAAGAACAAATTTTCTTGTTCCACAAAAGAGAATTTACTGAACTTAATGTTAAACAAATATAAAAGACATTTTAACATAATTTAATTTTTAATGTATTTATTGTAAATATAAAATAACAATTTCTGTAAAATTGTTTTTCAAGTGTATATATATATATATATATATATACTCGTAAAAATATTTTAAAATTGAAAGAGAAAAATGAATCTCAAATAAGAGTTTATTTTCAATTTAAATTTGCCGCGTAGACTTTCATATTCTTTCGTATTGATATATGGATGACTAAAATTAATTTTTTATTCAAGTTCCCCCAGAGGATATCACAATATCGAAGAAGATAATCAATGTGACAGTGGATACAGTACCGGAAACCGTTGAGTGTAACGCGAAAGCGCGACCAAAACCGAACTTCCGATGGTTTCGCGAAGGGTCCACTGATACCATTATGGAAGGTCATGTATTTGACTTGAAAATGCCAATACCACGGCGTAGTAGTGGCACTTACTATTGCGAAGCATCGAATCGTCATGGCTCCTTGAATATCTCAATTATCATGAATGTGCAATGTACGTTCTTTGCGTCTCTTTAGACTTTTAAATAAGTAATTAAAAACTTCAAATCTCTATATTTGTTTAATTATAAAAAGAAACATATGTATAAACATAAAGTTAATCTTGCAATTTTCTTATTCTTCTGAATATTTTTAATTGAAAAAAGTGAGAATTATTATATATAATATTTCTTCCAAATTTTACATACTTTTACATCTCGATTTGGATCTTCTATTTTAATGCAAAATTTCGTATTTTTATACTTGCCTTTCTTAAAATATCATTGTTAATAAAAAAAATTTTTTTTTAATAATTTTTCTACGTTCTTTTGGCGTCTAACAGCGATGTCATATTTTTCATGCAGTTAAACCAGAATGTCACATAGAAAAAGAACGTTTCGAGGGCCAGGACTATGTCGTTTGCTCAGCCATTGCCAATCCGAAAGAGACGGATTTCACTTGGTCATTGAAGAACGAAAACGACTCGCTGGAGCAGGTCGCACAAATGCGAAACGGAAAAAGTTACATGCCACTTGATACCTCAGTTACTAACTTACGGACGTACGTGTGCAGGGCAAACAACACAATCGGCCATTCCGTAGCGTGTGAACGCGATATACCAGGTTTGGTACAATGAACTTTTCATTGATTCGCTGATATCGTGTTTATATTTGCAAAAATAGCAGCAGTACTTTTCGAAACATTTCAGCTGAATTATTTGAAAATATTATTGCATTCCGTAATAATTTTTTTATATAGAAATTCAAAAAAAAATATGCGATGCAAAAACACGAAAAAATATTAAAATATCAGTATGATACAAAAAAATTTTTCTAATGATTGTGCGTACAGTTTATAAGTTTATGTTATATTGGGAAGTTATGAAGAGAAAAAAAATCGTTTCCCATTAATAGTAGCTTTTACGAATAAGTGATAAAAAATCAAACTATATAATATCAATTTTTAAATATTGACAATTAATATAAATTGATGTACATTTCATATAAATCAGGAGAGTCACGATATTATTATAACTTCAACTATTTCGTATAATGTTAATGTTTTCTTATTATATGAAATAATCATTTAATACTATTGAGACATAGATCTGATAACATATTTCTGTATAATTATCTGTCCATCACAAATATATTTAGTAGAGTTTGTCACTTTACAGCCCACCATGGAGTTAAACGTAAGTTACGCCTACATCACTTCAAATTTTACGTATAATATATTTTACATATAATTATTTATGTGTAATCATTATCCAATATACTATATTACGAGAATGTATATTATATTTTTCTTTTTTTAAATAAACATTTGATTGCAGCTTTAAATATAATATAAAATATAATACATTGCAATACACAAAAACATTATACGAATTAACAAGAGAATAAAATTAAAATAAAAATGCTTTAAATTGTGTGTACTGTTATAACGCGAGTAACAAATTCTTCTATAGATTAGATGAATACAAAACGCAATAGCTATCCTGTTTAAAAATTATTTGGTTTGCTTACTGTCCTCTATTTCAATACACAATTTCAAACATTTTTTTCTACAATTTTATATATATGTTACAAATACTTGATACATATAAAAATTATCACACGGATAAATTAACTTATTTTTCGTTGCTTGTTGAAACACTTTTGACATTTTTTGTATTTTGACAATGAAATGTTCTCACATGCATCATTATCCTTATACAAAAACTATTAAATTGTTTACATATGTCAAAATCGGTTATTGTACATTACAACCTATCTTGTTACAGGACATATACCTTGGTGGCATCGATTGGAGGGTAATCTGCTACTGATTATTATCGTAGTGACGGTGATCATGATACTAGTCCTAATATTGATCTGCGTGGCCATTTACATCGTGTGCCGACGAAAACGCAGCCAATTGAAATGTAAGTTATCTTTAATATATTATATTTATATCTGTAATTATTCGCTCATTGTAGCGATTTACATAATGTAGCTAAAATGGGATTTCTTCGAACTCATAACGAACCAATATAATTTTGTTGATGCGTAAAAATAGCAATTTCTCAATTCTCACACGAGAATAATTTATTACTTTAAAATATTCCAAGCAAGAGATCTGAATCTATATTATATCTATATCCAAAATACATTTTTAATAAAGTTTCAAAGAGATTCAAAGAAATCCAATTGAGTAGCCTATAAATATTATCATAAATATATTATAATGATCTGATATGATTAATACATATGACGTATTTTACATCTGTATATACATATATCTAAAATGGCCTATAACTAAACGTGAATATTTCAATATCTTAAAATATATTCGTCATTTTAAATCTATAATTATTATAATTGGAAAATAACGTTACGAATAATGATATTTCTTCCATATGTCCTCACGATATATTTTTTTATTCCTACCAGCAAAAAGTGTGGTATAATTTCTGTGTTCACATTTTAGTATATTTCGCATTATCTTCGTTAATGTAAAAAGTATTTTCACATGTAGTTAATACACTATCCTTTTGAGTTTTGAAGTTAACTAATTACTTGCATTTATATACATTTTATAATTTTTTTGAAAATTTAATTCAATTTTATATAAAGCTTCTTAATAGTTACAAATAACGACTTGAATCATATGTAATCGTAAGTATATCAAAGTTATTTTAATCACGTAACGCAAAATATTAAATTGATTTATTGATATAATATTTACATATTTAGAGAACAATTATATTATTCTAAAAAGCATTTTATTTATTGATAAAGTTTTGTTGACCCAGTCCGTGCAAACAGATGTAGATATATTACACATTGTATACAATATTATATTATCTTATGTAATTTATGCTAAGTAGAATAAAAGCATGCTCACATTATTTGATATTTCTGTATAAAGTAGTTAATGACATAAAATTTCCATTTAGATGGAGATAAATATGAACAATTAAGAAGAAACATATATGCTTCGCTGCTATAATGTTGATCAATATTAATTTAAAATTTCGTCTTTAGTAATTTCTTTTCGTTATAAGTATTATTTAAAATAAAAAGAATTACAATAATCACATAAATTATAACGTCATATTACAGGATGTTCATATTAATCCTTGTTAAAAAATAATTTATATACATAAAATATGATAATTTATATACATAAAATATAAAGATCTAGTATCGTATGAATTAAATGAATGTACAAGATAGAAATAAGTTAACAAAAACAATGTAGGAAATTTTTGACATTAAATGCAATTTTATAACAATTACAGAGGAAATAAATGAATATTTTAATGTTGTTTTAATGTAGACTTAATCTGCCTAAGAAATAAATTAAAAAACTTTTCCAATTCACACATAAATTAAATACACTTTAAATTAATGCACAATATGTACGATACTATTCTAAATATATTTGATTATAAGAATATTTTATATTTATCCGTTTCCAAAGAGACTTTATATAATTTTACAGGCATATTTTTAGGAAGAAAAAAACGTTAATGATTACATCACTTTATACGTTCAAAGTAATGTTTATTATTTTAATCTTTTTTGTGCGTATTTGTTTAGACAAGGCTTTTGTGATTTTTATTTATTGTTTTCCTTTTTTTTGTAATTTTCGACAACTTTTGTTTATTTTTTTAACCATATTTTATACACATCGTTAATTTATTTTAGCTGACAAAAATTCGGCGAGTTATTTCATTATTTACTTTTTTTAAAATAAATTTTTTATGAAATATTTATTTTTATTTGACGTCTTTTGTAATTGCCTCGTTCCTCTTTCTATTCATCGCAAATAACCGTGGTCCAATATAATAGTAAACAGTGAAATTAATCCAAAACATTAATAATTCTCATTAAACTAATGTGCCTTTACTATAAATATGGTAAAACTAATCTGAGAGCTTTATAATTCATAACAAGATTTCAATCATTCATTATTTATGATTTTAAATACAGCATACATATAAAAATAAGTATCGTTAATACAACGATCAATACAATGTGAAGGTCTGACTTGTAAATTAATATAATATTATTCTCTACATATGTTATATATTACTCTACGAAATTTTATAATATTCAAATACAATAAAGAGTTAACAATATTATAATATAGTCAGAGAGAATAATGGAACCTATTTTCAATGCCTTTCTCACAATCAGTACGACTGCCACTTAAAGTTAATCGTTCCATAATAATTACTGCAAAAAGTACGTTCGCATCCGCATACTAATTAATTGATGGAGTTTTTTTCATCTCGTTTCTAACTTTCTCATGATTTCTTTGTGTGGTGGGTGTGTGTGTGTGTGTGCGCGCGCGCGCGCGTGCGCGTGCGTGCGTGCGTGCGTGCGTGCGTGTGTGTGTGTGTGTGTGTGTGTGTGTGTGTGTGTGTGTGTGTGTGTGTGTGTGTGTGTGTGTGTGTGTGTGTGTTTATGCGTGTATGTGTGTGCATGTGATTCTAATAATATAACTTTTTTGAAAAACAAACATAGATATTCAACAGAAATGGAATGAATAAATTAATATTATAAAGTATCAGTTGCTATATGTATATATGCTGTTTTAGAGCTTAAACGTTCATTTATTTCAAATAATACTTGACTAGTATTTTTAACTATTTATAAAATTTTCGCTATACGTGCGATATAAAAAAAGTTATATTAAATTTGCTTTTGTATCTTCAGTAACTTTATAACATACATATAAATTTACAAGAAGATAATTTTTATCTTATAAATTTTGTCAAAAAAAAATACTTATACATGTAAGCTTTGTCCATAATTAATAACAGTTAACATTATAGCAACGAGCATGCGTTTATCCAGTAGTTTTCATTTTACTAACACCAAACTGATTTGTTTCTGCTCTACTTTTTAATTTGGACTTGCTAAACAAAACACAGACAGTACTCGGGTGGTCGAGCTGGAGGAACGCGAACAGTAAGTACAAACCGCAGTGCACTGCGTTTTCTATTTTATGTTGTTTTGGTTTAAAAAGTCGATCTTAATTTACTACTGGCTTTTTAGATTTGCTTGTATATAGACACAGTGTAATGGAAAAAAACTATATGATTTGCAAAGAATTGAATGCATTTTTTTATTCATAAAATATATATACCTGTTTGTAATTGGGTAAATGTCTGCTTTAGTGTTGTGCTTGTACATATAGTATATAGTTTCTATTGAGTATATATGGTTATTATTACTGACGTGTATGCATGCTTCATAATTAAAATATATCTCATCGAATAGCTGTAAAAAGTCTTCCTACTTTTTTAAATAAATTTCCTCAATCGATAACTTTAGAAAAATTAATAACTTATATTCGTTAATTACACTATTCAAAAATAATTAGAAAAAAATAGAAAATTATATAGCTTACGTAATATATCGCGAAATAAAATAATTTTTTATCCTAACAAAGTTTTATATATAAATCATAATAATAGAATGTATTTAATTTTGCAAATAATAATTAATAGAATAAACAAAAGTTTTATTTGCAAAATTAAATACAACCATTATTTAAATTGGATTAAAAAATGGCTTATAAATTCATAAAGTATTGCAGGAATTCATTAATATATGAATTAGCGCACTGCAAACACAAAATACAAACATTACACGCGCTATTACAAAACGGTATGCGCTATTATTAAAATTGTATACTCATTAGAATGTAATCACCATCGAATTACATGTTTATTTTATCATTTTATTCATCAAACTTATTCTGGTATCATTCCCATTGTATCTTATACCTATTTGTTGTATCTACTAATAAGATTAACATTTCGCGCTAAATTGCTACAGTGATCAATGAATGCACAAAAGATAGCTACAGTTGGTCCCATTCGTGCTCGTGTATACGATAGCATGCAAGTTTGTCTCCGATCTGAAATCTCGCTGGAAATGATCCTCTCTCTACACACCTGAATACATATCCTATTGCATAATTTAACGACTACTTCCGGCTTACAATAGTGTAGTGGCAAGGTAGGTAGTTAGTTGTTCACGAAAACGAACGGGATGTTCTACACGACGCTCTTTCACGTGCTGCAGTTACGGTGTGCGGGGTGTAACTTCCTGCATAATTCAGCAAAGAGAGCTTGTAATTGTTAATACGGCTTGTATAATGACCATGCAACGTTGCAAGGGATATCTTCGGTGTTGCGAGGTAGGTGGAGGGTTGTACGGATTAGATTAGACTAAGTATTTCCAAAGAGCCTGTCGATCTTGAATGTCACTAGCTAGATGTTTTAATAATTTCGAAACAAATCACGTTGATTAACAAAACAAAAGAACGATACAATTGCAATTTATAATTATTATGTACAAAATGTGTGATACAATGGAAATCCGATTATGTAAAAAATTTTCTTCTAACTATTTTACGTATATAAAAAGATTAAAATTAACTTATTTTTCTATCCATCTATAGCCTATAGTATTCTAGGAATATAACCTTTTATTGTTCGAAAAATTGCGCTGCAATCTTGCAACGTTACTACAAAGAAGCGCTGGGAAAATGTTTTTAAACGCTAACGTTCAAGACCTCTTTACTACGATATTTTTAGAAAGAATGCATCCGCATTTTTATCATATCTCTCTTTATCTCTATTTTTCTCACCAAGTCGCATGCACAACCTTTTTAATACATATAGTGAAACGACGCGCTTTATCATGCAAGTCGACGAGCTGTGAACCGAGTTTATATTTAATTTAGTCCTTTCTCTTATCAATGTTAGTTCTACATATTCCGAGATATTGTTTTATTTCTGCGAAAGAGTTTACAAGGAGTTGTTTGTAACAAATGCACAATGGACCGGACGCCGTGTGCACAATAAACATGTACGTACCTTCCGGTGCTTCCGGTCTTATGCCTCCCAGGCGAAAAGTCCAGCTTCATTTAAAAAAAATAACGTTACCACGTGAAAAATTGTTCAATAAAACAAAACGTACGTGTTTATTCTGCCACCACGACCGGCTACGACGCGTCGGTGATGTTTTATTGTTAAAGTACCAAATACAACATTATTCAACAATCATATCTATTCTTCGCGTGACGGAGAAATGTCGCGTGACTCGCAATAACAAAAGGGACTGTACAAATTGTTTCCCTAGCTCTAAACAGGACGTAGAACGATGCACTCATTCCTGCATGGCATTTAAGGACACAGGAGAGAAATCTGTTCATAGTAAATCACAATTGCACGAGCACAAAGTAGTACGCTACATGGGGTAAATCTTTCTTGATATAATAGTATTAGTATAAATGATTGTTCGATATTGAATCTTGAAAAATTGTTGAAAAATAATTGAAATTTTGTTGAAATAATTATTGTGATCATTGATTGATGATTAATATTTTATCAAAATTTTAATAATTAAACTCAGACAATAATAAGACGCTTCTGGAAAAAAAGATCGATTTTTTTTCGTATTTCAAGTGATTGCTTTTTGCTGGAAAATATGTAATAGGTGTATTTGGAATACCTATTAGATAAAATTGATATCATGTTGTATACAGTTCGATCTGCACATGTGAAATTATACATAAATGTAGCAAACATCAAACTGCTGCACGCGTACTCTATTTCACATAACGAGCGGACGATAATTGTTCCATTTTCTGAATTAGCCCAATTTCACGGTTTAACGTATGCATACATATACCCTCTTTGGTATCGGACGATCTCTGGAAATGCGCAATTTCGCAATCACATCGTAACTTCTTCCCATGCCATTCATTTGTCACTGTTCTGTGATAAATCGAACAAGAAATATGCTCACATATGACATCGCGATAAGTCCCTTTTGATGGATTACCGCCGCACTCATATCAGTGAATTTGAAACACGTGCACCGAATCTCGGAAGGTATGTCACCGCCGCGCCGCATGCCATACGCATTCAACAAATTATTTTATTTCAGAGACAGACTTAAAACGTTCCTCAGGTTGGTCTGATTTAGCGGATACGAGTCTTTAAATTAGTTCGAATACAGGCACGTGCACGCCGTGCACATCGATAATTGTCGTCCATTGAGAGAAGTTCGACTTCTATGAACGATGTAACACGACGCTACGACAACCTTTAAACGGAGTCTGCAATAAAACTGTAAAATGCTGGAAAAGCTTCAAAACGTGAACCTTAGAAAGCGAAAAGCAATGGCGTAACCGAAGGTTTCAAAACGAAAAGAGGATAGAAATAAAAAGAGACAGAAATAAAGAAGATAAAAAAGAAGGTAAAGGAGAGCAAGAGAGCAAAGAAAGAAAAGGAAAAGGAGAAAGGAAGAAAAATAAGTATATAAGAAATAAAGTATAAAATGACAGGAAAAATAAGACACAAAAGCACTAAAAAGATACAGGAAGGAATAGTGACAGAGATCGACATTGTATAAAATAAACGATGAAGGGTCTTCTCTTTAAGTTCATCTGCCTTCGTAAACCTTGGCTACGTCACTGGCGGGAAATATACCGAATGGAAAATGTCGTACGACGAATCGTGCCAGAGCAATCGCAGTTTCCCGCGATGCAATCTTTTATACCTTACGCGCGCTTGACGGCGATACTCGACAACGCTTTCCCGACCTGCATTCCCGACGACATTTTTCTACCATTCCCTTGAGAATTTTGTTTCGCGTCGTTTCGAAATTTCGCGTGCTAAGATTCACGTATACAATCCAATAGCAATCCGGATTCGATTTAAAAAATCGCGTCAATTATTCTTTACTAATTTTACAACTTGTAAAGATTATAAGAGTTAATTATAATCTTTCAGAATACTCTACACTCTGAGAAAAAAGTTTTCGATATTTGTAACTATAATTACAAGGTAAAATAATAATTATTATAAAACGACCATAAAATTATAATTATTTTTTAGTACAACCATATATTCTTTTTGATATATAAAGCTAAAAATATAATTATTTTTATTATTACAATATAGTATAATAACTATAAAAATAAAGCTCCTAGTCATAATTATATATTTTATCATACAGTTTATAGTCACAAATACCAAAACTTTTCTTTCAATGCAAAAATATTCATGCTCTTTAGTTGCATAATCTTCAATAACATTTCTGCAATTTTTCTAGTTTAATGCTAGTCAAATTTTTAACGACATTCATAAAATTTAGCACAGAGATTTACCGCAAAGATCATCCTAATTTATTCGAGAGAATTTATAATCGGATTAAAACGCGTATTGCTGTAGTACGCTTCTTACAGCATAATTAGTATAACTAGCTTGCTTATACTAATTATATTCCGGACTCATTATACACAATCTAAAACGTACACAATAAGAAGATACAATCCATTAAGATCATATCTTTTATTTTCCAGATTTATGTAAATAAACTTTCGCTTAATTACCATAGCTTATTTTAACGAAGATGAATTTATTCATAAAGATTCAATATCGATCAAATGTCCGCTTTGTCAGAATTTTCTTATTTCGCAAGTGGAAAAGAAAGACAAACGCTCTTGTAGAACTACGGCGGAGATTTCTCCAGCAGTGAGATTTATTTCCGTCTTTAGGTCTTCTGATCCCGTCGGAGACACGACATGCCACGCAATGTTCTCCATTCAGATAATGTAATTCAGGATATATGATAACTGAATGCAAAAATGTGGTATTGTTTCTTGAAAATAAAACATTACCCGAAACGCTTAGAGAAAAATTTTATTTCGTAAATGAATTATTTTGACACAAAAAAATACACGCTCATTTATCAAAACTTTGTAGCATTCTTTTTAATACAAAACGATATACTTGTTCAAAAAATTGTTAAAAGAACTGTTAAAAGAATTGTTAAAAGAACATTATTCATTATCTTGCCAAATGCAATACGCTTGATCGTTTGGCAACGGATTTATCTTTCTATCCACTCTTTCGCTTATTTGATCTTTCGTCTCTCCCGCTCGTATGACAGACAACTTCACTCGACAACTCTCGGGTCAGGTGGAGTAATTGAGATCCTTAAATAAATGGGACAGCACAATGATTTTCTAATGGTAAATTTAGCAGATGTCATTTCTCAAAAATTTTCCAATGCACGAAAAGAAAAACAACTTTACTGAAGTAGCGACATTTAATTAGATACAGATCTAAAAATAATTTTAGATTATTAAAATAGATTATATAGACTCAAATGTAATAAGCGAAATACTGAAAAAGATTTTGACATCTTAACAACCAGTTTGAGCGTCCTACATAATTATTTAGTCTAACAAAATTATTTTTAAATTGATATCTACAGAGTAACCATTAGGATTGTGTTGAAAGTAAACCATTATAACTTTCCTCTTTCGTTTTGACTATCGTTTTTCTGATTAAGATCGAGTATATGAAATTCTTTTTAATTTTCTTTTCTTTCGGTGGCTAATGAATTGACATTCATAAACTGATTTGTACAACGGATTTTGAATGAAATTAATCAGTCTCAAATTAATCTCGACTTAGAAAACCGATCGTCAAAACGGGAAAGAAAAAATATAACGGTTTATTTTCAACATAATCTTAATAGTCACGCTTCAGCTAAATTTTTAGATACTTTAGCAAAACTGTTTTTTTTTTCATGTTGCTATTAAGTAAATACTCAATCTCTAATCAAAGAAAAATTTTTAAATCAAAAATATGAATTTAATTTTTTATTAGATATAACCTATTTTAATACAACCTGCATAATTTGCATTCGTAAAATCATCATCAATAAAATATACGGACGGTTCCCTCTCTCTGTGCGTTCAATTTTACGCATTGCATCTATTTTGAAGCCTTCTCGGGTCGACACTATAATAGATGTCTCATTTATCATTATAAGGTCGACTATAATGGATATCCATCCATCCTCTAATTTTATCACCGAGAACTCACTGCGTCGTCCCATTTACCTGTCCGACTCAATTATTCTATATGACCTCAATCGTTATACAGTCCAGACGGTGGACCGCCCAGTCCAACGGTATCCTCGCACTCGGTTCAAAGTCCGGCACAGCCGACATCGGCGCCGAGATGGCCCTTGAAGCCAGGCGTACTAGTGCACATCAATCGAACTCACAGCCTGCGATCCGGCCTGAGCGTTCGTGCGAACGAGACTAATCTGCAAAACGAGCTGATGGGCAAACATAACGACGAATCGCTCAAACAGAGGTTCCTCGACGAGACGTCATTGTCGTCGATCGGTTGTAACCCAGCTCGGACAGTATTCCGCCGCGGTAGGAAAGATCAAACCGCGCAGAGAACAACCAGCATGACCAGTCTGAACGAAGACGGTATGCTTGCGCGGGCTAACAAGATAAAAGCCATGTTTGGCGTACAGCTCAAAGAGCAGGCCACCCTACCCGGTATATCCAGAGAAAAGACAGGTAAGAGCAGTAGGAAAGAAGTTGAGCTATTTACTCATGACTTTACCAGGTGTCATCCTACGTTAATCCGTTTGTATTTGCAGCTACTTGCTTACTTAAAAGCCGTCGACTTTGCACAAAACTCTACAAGTCGACACTTTAAAGATTTTTTAATGTTAGCTATTTAAATGTAATTCTTCATTGTAAAGATTATATGATACGCTTTAAGCAATGTGAGGTAGACATAAGGCCTTTGACTAAGCATACAAATATTTGTGAATGCAAATGGGTTAAACAAACGGTTCTTTCATATCAAAAGTCAATCAAATATATTTCTGACCTATTCCGCGTTCACTGTTAGTATAATTCATAGCAAGCTATTTAAATAATGGTCATTTCATCTCTTTTCATATAAAAAATAATGACGCTTTCGAAACCTAATGATTGCATTGTTAATTTTATAAGTATTTTATCGATATTTTTATATTTTTGTTATATATTATATTACATGTATAAACGATATTATCTAATTATGTCTCCTACACACCAATATTTCAGAGTATCGATTTGACTGCGTATTAGTTGAACTTCATTCTGCGTTACTTTCTATACAACATTTTTTTATTTTCAACTGTCGTCGTATACCTTGTTGTTTCGTCATTACCTGTGACTTTTCCTTCACAATTTTTTACGCGCTTTTACGTTAACATTATATTAACTTTTCAATTAATGAAAACATCTGTGTTACTGGAAAGTACGTGGTGCGTGTTTCTGCATACGTCGCAGACGACTTTGAAGCCTCATTAAGCATACAGCTGCGTATGTAGCATGTAATTAACCGTCTAACTTTTCCACACTGATGCATGTCCTGATGCCGGCAGGAACTTCATGCCTTAGTATACTTTGATGCTTATTCATAAGCTTTACTGTTATTATTTAGTTTACAAATAAAAAATAGGAAAAAATTTTATAAAGTCAAATAAAAATGTATAACAAATAAAATATTAAGAAAATTTTAATATATGATGCATGTTAAAATTAAATTTACTAGGTTAAAAAATAGATATTAATCCAAAAAACACATTAAATATCGCTCATACTTCTGACAATTTAATGTGAAATGTATGCTCACGTACTTTCCATTAGTGCAAAAATGTCAATAACATATTCAGTGATATTTTCAAGCTTCTATATACACATATATATTTATATACCTATTTACTTTCTAAATATGAAAAATATTTTAGCATATATCCATATGGATATTTACAAACATTAAAATAATTTATCATTTTCATGTGCTTTAAAAGTAGCTATTTATATGACTTTCTCGTGTCTGTTTGCACTTTATTGTTAATGCAATCGCATTTTTAATTATTTATCTAATACGCAATTGTTCTAAAAAGAGAAATCATAAATTAAAGTTATAAAAATAAATGTCTCTACATTTCCTAAATGTGCACACATAATTTACAATTTTTATGTATATCAAATGTTGTATCTTAAATCACAAAAAAATATAGAAACAAATTAATTTCAAGAACGTCATATAATTTAAGTTCTTTTTTATTTATAATTGCTTCTTGACCATTTTAAAATTTAATGTGAACATTTATTCCATTAATTCTTAATGTATTCATTAATATTCATGGTCATTTACGCTTGCTTAAGTTGTCGCATGGAAGGCTTCATGTGTTTATGATATCGCTCGTTGTTGATTATGTGTTCCTTAGCTGTGACTTACAAGAGAATTGTGCCGCGACAGCGGATGTTGCACGGCGTGGAACCATCCTATGAGCCAAATCGTGGTAATATATCTCGTAAGAGAAAAAAACCTGGAGCAGGTACGTATAAAGAGAATTTTTATAGAACGGTGCATGCTTGCAACTTTATTTGCTCGTATAGTTTAACTTAAAACCCTCCCCAACCTTTCCCTTTTTCGCAGATTTCTTTTTTAAAAAATATGTGTTACTTTATGGCTGTATACGCGAATACATATTCATCATCGGGCAAAAAAGGATATACAAAAAACAGAGATAACTCTCATACAAAACATACGTACGAATGCCGCAGTCGTTAGTGTACGCAATAGAGAAATATTTAGCTATAGGTGATAACACACATGCCGCACGCAAGATTTCATAGTTCCGCATAAAGTATACATAGCAATCGGCCACATAAATTTCACTTATCACACAACAACTATTAATCATAGATCTTATCAATTTTCTGATTATACTGTAGCTATAATTCCGCGCGTTCCTTCTGTGGTATGTTCATCGCGATATTATTCTCGATCTTTTCCATCAAAACTATATGTATATGTATACTACATTACATATATATATAGATATATATATATGTACTTTTATCGTGCGCAGCAGAAAAATTTCTTTGAAGATTTGATGATAACAATTACAATATGAATTATTACATGATATTATTGTTTTACTGCGCGTCGATATTTCAGATGATTATAGTGTTATTAAAAAAATAGAAGTACAAACTGAAATTCTAGGGATGAATCGTAAAAATTCGGAATTCTAATACTATAGAAATTACAAATGATTGCTTAGACTTTGTTAATCCTATATTTATATTTTAAAATTCAAATCGGATCTGCAATCTTGTTTAAGGCTTTATCTCGTTACAGTGTTCTTTTACACTTTTTTTACTAATAAAAGTTCATCATTTTATTGGATTAAGTCGAAATATGTTGGTGAAACACAGTTCCTATGGATCGTCGAGTTTATCACTGTCATCAACATTTACCTCACTACAATTTATGTAGTGTTACTAACATTTTCTTTTTGCAATTGCAGATCCCAATCAAGCCGCGAATAACAATCATGTGAACAGCGTGTCGGAAGTTCTTCCCGACTCTGGGACAAAGACGTTCTACGAAAATTTACCTTTCCACGGGATTCAAGCGCCACCTAACAAGGTTAGTATAATGATCATTCAATAAAATACAGAATTTTTTTTCAAATTGCATGCGCTAGACTCGATTTGCAACTCGCATATTATCGTGATTGTCGAAAAAATAATGACAGCAAATATGTCAGTCGCAAAAAATTAATCTATAGATATTGAAAACTAAAGAGTGAGACGGAGAAAGAAAGAGAGAAAGAGAAAGATAAAAAATAATTCAACTTCGTTTTTTAGTATTTGTATTATAATTAAAATAATAATCGATAATGTATTTTTCTCTAATTTAATACATGGAGTTATTATGTATTATATTTCCACGGCTGCTGATGAGGACTAAGTGAAGTTAAAACATACCGTAAATATATTTGGTAAAAATATTACAATAAAATGAACTTAATGTACATCTAATTCATAGCTCATTTTAATTCGATGACATGGTAGGCATTTACTATTTATTTGTTTAATTTACACGAACGCATATTTAATGCTAATTCAAAATTTGATAGTCAAAAATTCTTTAAATTAAAACGTAAAAAAATGTTTTAAATTGAGAATACTATTTTCAACATTCGGTTGATACCATTGTTCTTTGATTTTCGGCTTGAATTATATTGAAGGAACAGTACAATTCAAGAGAATTATTGAACAAGATCGACCTAAAAGGACCGATACCCTCTCAATGCATTTCCACCAGTTAGCCAACCAAGTTTCGTGAACAGTTTGTCGATTAACGGTATCCCTTTCTGATCAAATATGTTCAAGAGGTGATAGCAAGTGAAATGTGGTGGAAAGCCAAGAAGGAAGATATTAGTACGACCTTTCGACCATACAACCCCTTCGAAGACTCTCGGCACTTAGAAGTGCCTCGTTACTCCGACATACCTATACAGTTCCTCCGTATTGCTTCACTTTGTAAGAGTTACCGAACTCAGTTACCGAATACCTTTTCAACCTTTATAATGGATATAATATAATATTACTTCTCAGTGACTTTTCTACTACAGTCATTTCGCAATTAAGAAACCATAACTGGTTTCTCAAGCTGATGATATTCACCTGCCTTATCGAATTACCGGCGCGAATGCATTCATCATCTCTTTCTCGCCCCTTTCCACCCTTTTTAAGAGCTCACCCATTTCGTTGCTTCCTATTATCACAGTTAATTGATTCGCCGAGCAGACGTTTAAATAATTAATTTCACCATTTCACAACTGACTTCCCTTTCTGTTTGCATTTGAATAATTAGAATTGAAATTAAGTCTTTTTCGTGCCAGAAGAGTCATGAAATCTTTTGAGATAGTAAGACTTTACAATAAGTTATCTGCAAATTATGCATATGAAACAACTATATAAAGAGATATCTAATAGTTAAATATAAAATACGGGAAATAGCATTTTATTTTGCTGTAATAAAATACTCGCGTATTACATGAGCTATTATTATTTAATGTAAGCCTCTTCTACCTTACAAACGAATTCGATTATATCGTATAGACCTTTGCGATGCAAATTTTAACCGTCTCAAGCAACCTCAATGCATCATATTCCCATTGAACACGTAAATCTATCGTTCTCTGGAATCGTTGAATATACAAAGAATATTATATATATGCATATATACTTCTCGTAACATCAATCCGACTCAACGAATATTATATCAATTCTTTGTATACAGATTTACTATGATGATAATAATGCGAGATCGATATGGGGTATCTTAACAGAGAAAGCAATTCTATACAATATATAATTATATTTTATGTGTTTATATATGTATTTTAAAAGTTTTCAATTTCTGTAGACATATGTTTATACACACGTAATATTACATCATAATATTCATATTGAAATAAATTGATGAGAAGAAATATAATGTATATGATAACGACTGACAATTTACCGTCATTATCTTGCAATAATAAATACATTTGTTGTTCGTCAATCTAGTTGCAAATTTGAGATTCGAAATCGCACCGCTTTAGCAATAATCAATCGTACAAAACCGATGTTGCTGAAATGCATGTCGAGTGAAACATATTGATTCATTCGGTACATCATATCAAAGCGTTTTATTCGTGTGAAACTTCATAATGATACTCTGCACGTAACAAAGTAACTACGAGTCAAAACCAGAATATTTTTATTAAAATGAATATACACGCTTTTATGAAATGTATTACGTTAGCGCATTCAGCAGTTTATATTTTCTTTCTCTCTAACTTATAAATAATTTTTATTAATTACTCAAATATTTTGCACTTCGCACTGACTGCCTTTATTTACTGCTTGTTATGTAATTTCGTGCAATATCCGTAAATTGTGCAATAACATTCTGTCGATTGTCTTACAGATAATTGCAAAACGATAATTTAACAGTTTGATAAAATTGCGGGGATAATTTGCCAATGAGAAGTAAACGAAATTATATTAATTCTTAGCAAGTAAGTGGCTATGTTATTAATTCTTTGCGTTGCCTCAATACATTTTTTGCGAATTCCCGGATACTTTTATTAGCTATAGGAAGTCTCGTAGCCCAATCAATATAGCGGAAAAAAAAGCACCGTGGTGAACAGGTAATTCAGTGCTGTGCGAGTGTAACGAGTATTGCTACTTTGGCAGAAATAAATTCACTGTACGCTCTTTTTTATCTTATTCGTGCACTAATGCTTTCTAGAAGAACCGATTGTTGCAATGAGTTTTCAATAATTTGTGTTTTACGATAAAATTACCGCAAACGAATGACCGCAAAATTTTATTTTCATCGAAATCGATATATACTATTTTGTGCCGATTAACGTTCGATGTCAGCATTTAATAAAAAATGACGTTGACGCCACTTGCATTCTTCATTCGAGAATGTAATGAGTTTCACTGTATTTTAACGAATGTTTGTTACAAAAAATCGAGATAGACTTGTTTCAATCTGATCTATTTGATAAATATTGGCGGAAAATACTAACTTATTTAAACCTACTAAAAATATAATAATTTTTTTTATTAAAGTAGCATAATATGATAAAAATAGTAACTATAATTTATGTTTTTCAGACAGCATATGACGTCCATTGGACATCCAATGGACCTCGATACTGTCTGGGAATGTTTTACTCATGAAATGAACTATAAATAAAATGTCAGAAGTTCTATAATGTCTGCTAAATACATTTTATATATCTACTGATATAGTTACATATACCAATAATTTTCAGCTTCCATAATCGTTCTTTGTATTAAAGTTGAACTGTAAAACTTTTTAATAGAGAGACTCTACAATTTTCAATTATTCAAAAACATCTACGTAATATTTGATATAACAAACGTTCATAAATGCAAAGCTCATTTTGGCAAGCGTATACCAAGTGAAATTAGCCGAATCGGTTTACCCAATTCGCTAGTATTCACAATCGGCGCGCAATCCGAATCAATCAACGTATAATTCAATGAGAGGCAATAAGCACTGCTGCTGGCATAGGCCACTCCGATAATCAGACCGGTAGTGGATGACTGTCCTAACGTATCGGCAATTACGCGCCATTTTCCAAGGATTACCACGTTATATTTCAGTTAACTGTAATTACTTCAAAACTGTAATATTATTGAAAAATCACTTGTTAATTTTTATCAACAAAGCAAAATTTTGAAATTCTAAAATTATTAAATTATTATGAAATAAAGTTAGAGAGAAGAATAGACGATTATACATTTCCTCTGCTCAATTATAACTTAATCCGTGTATAATAATACAAACATTTTTTCTTGCATAACAGAAATTGGAGAGATTGAGAATATATATAATCGATATATCAATTTTATTTAAAAAATTTCAATATATATTCACAACACAATATTAATTTGTATTATTGCGGCACATAATGTTGTTGCAAACCTACTCGATATGTCGTTATCAAATGTATAATGTTAGAATAACTTCCTCTTACTCATCATAAGAAAACGATGTAACTGTATCAGTAGTTCTCGTCCAAAATGCCAATAGCAACACAGAAATTGACGTAGATTGCTTCCTTATGTCCTACGGCGACGAAACATTTCAGCCAATCTGCTATACGAAGTCGTTAATTAAATTACCGTGATCGCCGAAATGTCATTACCCTCGGGGATAAGGAACCGTCGATGCCGACGATGTGCGATAATCGAACGTTAATCAACACCATAAACAAACCAAACCAAATGAAGACCGAGGGACTGTGTTATATGTACATGCGAATGGCCGCTGGCTGCGTTTTGTTTTAGTTGGTTACTCCTAAGTTTGCCCGAGTTTCGGCTTTGCATGGCACGTTGCATTCCATCACGACCTCGCCGTGTTCCTCGCGGCCACCTAGCAGAGCTGTCAGTCTGTGCAATGGCAGTTCCGGTTATGAGTCGACCATGAGCCACCTAGGCCCTCACTACAACATCTACAACGTGCCCAGGAGCAATTCACCAGTGCTTAAATACAACACCCTGAAACCACGGCGGCGCAAACAGAAACACTCGCAACAGTTCTATTCGTTGCGGTTGTGTCGTCGGCATGAAAATATCCGCAGGAAATACGAGCTATATGCGATACCAATCTATAAGACGTGCCCGCACAGGAGCGACAGCACGACCACAATCGCGACGATCGTCCGGTCGATGGAGGATACGCCGTCCTTGACCCTAAGCCAAGCTTCGGCATCGATCAGCCTGATGAGCCGATCGGCACCGTCGACGCCGATACCATCGTCACCGACGACACCACCGATACCAGCACCGAGGATGTCCAAAAAAACTGATCCATCCAAACACACCTACCAAAATGTCCCTCCTCCCGTTTTTCCGCCGAAAAACGCTTCGTTGCCTAAGCTTAAGGTTTGTCAACTACTGATGATTTATAATTCGAATCCCCCGCATTCGATGACGCTCGTGGACGTTGCCATAAAGAAATTTCTCAATAACCGTCTCTCGACTGATCCTATCGCTATTGGCTCGTATTGTCCAGTAATTAATTCTTCACTAATCTATTAATATTCATTATAAAACTTCGCGAAACTCTTCTCATCGATGCATAATTTTAAATACACTGTTAAATACATATTTTGCACCCATTCTACATGTTGGAACTAGTGCGGACAGAAATATTTAAATAAAATTGAAAATATAACTATATGTATAAGGAAACGATATGTTGAATTTAATATTTCTAAAAGCTTTGACAGAAGTTATTTTGACATATATAAGACTTTCTCAGTACTGCATTTAAAGTATTGCAGTTGCAATACAATGTTTTTTATAGTCAAATAACGATATTACTTCAGAATTCGTAAAAGACTATATATAAAAATAATGAGAAGGAATATACATGTATAGTATATATAAGTGCATAATATATATATATATATATTCATAAATTTATTTTTACTCGAAATACGAACTATAATGCAACGAGAAACATATTAATAAGTTGATTTAATTTAATATTAATTTCATATTAATTTCAATCACATAATTTGATTGACATAATGGAGTAATTTTGTTAGTCAGGCTTCCAATTCAATTTCTCCCTTCTCAATTCTGATATGACATAATATAAAAATGTTTTATTTCCTTCTATATAATTTATAAATCACTGTTAATTTATTAAGTATTAATTATTAAGTAAAGAAATTTGAGATGAATCGCAAAACAGCTTGTTAAAATGAATAATTTGCTACTTACTAATTAAGTAGAATCAATTTATAATAATTAAGGAGATGCTGGAGTTACCGACGGAACACTTATTTCGTATTTCTCGTGCCATTTCGTTTTCCTTATACAGAATAAAAAATCCTTTTCCAGAATAAAAGGGAAAACACAAACAAATGTGGAAAAGTCCAAACCGGTATGAAAATCCTCCAAAAATTACCACATAGGTTCTTTCTTCACACATATATAAATGAATGCAAGCATATATCCAAACAAAAAAGACTTTTCCACATTTGACTAATTTATAATTATAAGATTATCATGAGACCTTCAAATTATGATTTTGAAGCTTACAAAAGAAATGGCACGAGAAATACGATTTGAGTGACATAACCAAACATTCAAGCGATATATAGGATATAGCAGAACAAGAAATGTACATAACGTTTTACTTAATGGCTTATTTAATGTACGTAATGTTTTACTTAATGTATGTAAATATTTTCTTGATGTATGTAATATTTTAATTGGAATTAAAAATCTATTTTATCGACATCGATTAAGTTCGGCCGTCTCTCCAGCATCGCCTTAATTACATAAGTGGAACATTCAATGAAAAACCACATTCATTAAACAATGTTAAAATCGCAGAAAAGATATACATAGTCGATTTGTAATATTTTAATGTACCTACAAATTTTCCATAATTTCAGCAACACATTAATTATGTATATAATTTGAACAATAATTTTATGATTTATTGAAAACCAGTAGATTTTCCAAATATATATAACCATTAGTACTAATTTTAATTTACCATAATCAAGCTATGATGTAGTCTATGATAAAAAAAGATCCTCTGTATACAAATGTCTCCTTTTATCATCGTATCTTTATTACACTTTAATTGTAATCTGATTTCTTTGAGGCTATGAACTCGAGCAACTTTACGAGCATTATCGTAGCACTTTACAGATTTTTGCATCGAGAACGCGACTGCTCTTGTAACTTTCTTAATCAAACTATTTGTAACTAATCGCGAAAGTTACCGCGTACGACCGAAACGGCAGCGTCCAACAAGCGAAACATCAATCCATCCCCTTTTAAGCTCCGAGTCACATTAGCATCTCGCGCCTATTGCATGAGTACGATTTACGTGTCCGTAATAGATATAAAACAGCAGCTTCTCTCGAGCAAGTAGGAGGTAGAATTACTGGAAGCCGAGTTATAATCGGAAATCATATTTTCCCTGCTAAGCTGGATCCGAGCATCTATGTAGCGACCGCCCTTGTGCATGTTGGCCGCGCGTCAAGTAAGTTTTCACTGTCACACACGCTTAACCGATGACACGAGCTCTTTATTGTTTCGATAACTGATAAACTTGAGATATTACTTCGAGGCTTTTCACGACGTGTCTGTTCCCTCGTTTTCACCAATAAAATAAAAAAAATCTGCGATTCTGCAACAGAAATGTCTTCCTTCACTTATCGATCGACAGCATAAACCTTGCACAATTTCTTTGTAATTATATTAACGGACGTATGTACCGTTACGAGGATTTTTCGGAAATCGAGGGTGCAAAAAATATTCAAACCATCTCTCTCATGCTAACAATAATTTATAAATCCTTTATACAATACGTCTTAAAATATGAAAACGCCAGAAAAATTCTATATATTCTACTATTCCTGACACGTACTGGTACGTTCGCAAATTGAATTTTCTACGTAAAATTATCACTGTGTCGGATATAGATATCTCGATAAACATCGTCACGAGGATTTTTCAAAATTGAACGTGCGAAGAATATTCAAAATTGATCACGAAAACCGTTATTTATAAATACTTTATAGGATATGTCTTGGAATGTGAACGTTGAAAATTCTAATATTCTTTTGTTTGCACATTGAATTTTCTATATGAAAACACGTGCACCATGTGTAATGATAAATCTATTTGACTTTAGATGTATATATTGTAACTACACAGTAAATCTATATGTTCCATATCCCAACCTATACAGCACAGATCATCCAGCACTATTACAGTAACGTTGCAACGTTCTAGCAATATTATAGTAACATTACAAATATTGCAGCAATATTGCTCAAGCAGCTTCTGTGCTGTATGGAAAAATGCGATGTTATGTGCTGACTCTTGTCCATCTCTTTTCTAATATTATAAAAAATCGAGAAGTAATGTCTCAGTTGTCCGATTTTCTCACGCACACTACGTCGCGTTAACCATTTGCGTCCCCGAATTGCCTGGTTCCAACTACTAACCATGCCTGTTACAGACCGACAGCCTATACAACTACAAAGAACACTACCAGCAGCAGCATCGGCAGGAGATGCAACAGTACAGCTACCCCTTACCGAGCAACAGTTCGAACCAACTAACACTGCCACTAACGAGCAGCCTCTACCATTCCTCGATAGTTAGTCCCCTGCAGACTTCCCTCGTTTACACTAATAACAGCCGGCCATCCACCCTGATGCACCATGAGGCTGCCACTACTGGCAATCACTTGCCTACGGTGCATCGGGACGAGGAGCAGCAGTCGAATTACGGTAATCACGATGCGAGACAATCATCGACGCGTCGACACGCGACGAATAGACGAAACGAGCGTAATCGGAAGTACCGGAAACACGAGCGAACGTCAAGTGATCGAAGCAAGTCGAAGCAAAGCCGACAAAGGGATAGAGATAATCCTTCACGGCGTAGCGATGCTTCCTTTGTCGATACACCCAACTACGAGACCAGCTTCCATCAAATCCCGGATCTGGGCGTGCCCGAGACGACGTACAAGATCTCGTATCCGCATTACTACGAGGATGACATCGCGGAGTGCTCGACCGACTATCACAGAACAAACTCGGCGAAGGCGCGCCAGCAACAGCAGCAACAGCCGCCGTGGGAGCATCAATCGAATCGCTGCACTGGCAATAACACGCCTCAATTCGCAGCGGACGCGGCCGACACGAAAAGTCGCAACAAAACGTCGAAGACGAGACTCAGCGACACCCGCAGCATACCATCTGCGCCCACGATAATGCAGTACGCCGAGTTTCACTTCCGGGATGTCGGTCAGGAGATCGATGTCTAAAGGTTAGTGATCCCGAATCCTGCTGGTGCACAACAGCACGGATGTGCTTTCGAAGAACGCGGGTGATTTTTTCCGAGGAATGCCGTGAAAATTTGTTTAAAACCTCGAGGCTCAGTACCCTATCACGTCTTAAAGGTAACGCACCCGTGCGTACCGGACGCAGATTTCTTTAAGATATTCTCTGAGTACGTCGTAATCAAAGGTAGGGAAACTATATATTTTCTCTTCTATTCTACTTTACCAAAAATATCCACGTATCTTCTTCTATTATTCTAACATCTTTTTTATCTTGTCTTTAGCTATCGCGCTGCTTTTGCATCAATTTGTTGGCATTTGTTTGATTTTCGAGTATGATTTTATAACTCTTCTTCTTGCATCTAAATTAATATTTAATTTGACGCACGGCATATATCAATCTTTAATAAATTCGCGTAGAAAGATAATTCGATGACTTATGGAAAAATTGCATATTCCACACGTCGTAACTTTATATTATCATAATATAATTTTTTTTAATTAATCACTTTATCATCTTTTATAATATTATTGAATACCCTTTTTTAAATATATATTTTTCTAAAAATAAACATACATTTTTACATTTTTTACTCACAGCGTGGTTCGAGATATAGCGAAATAAATCGTCGATAATACTATATTTAATATTAGATATAAATATATTTTTTTATTAAAATTCACTCTCTTGAGTTAAATACTGTTCTTATATTTTTTATGTAAATCACGTATTTTTAATTGATATAATGCTATAAAAAACTTCATGCGCGTAAAATAATAATACAAACAACATAAAGCATTATTGCAAGCAGACAGATCAATTATCCAACAATCAATCGATGACACATACAAATTTTACGTGTTTTTAATACCTGATTCAATTAAAAGTACTCAATCTAAAAAAAAATGTTTAGCGTGCATATCTCTACGAGTTCCAACGAATAAAAAAACCATCTAAATATGTAAAATTAAAATTGTATCAGTTTGAGCATCCCTATCGTAAAGAATTTTATAAAGAACGGGTAAATATACATCCATACATACTGTATTGATTTGAGTAATTATTTCATTTGATAAGCGTAATCCAACGAAAAGTATATAGTAAGATATTTAAAAAGACTTGAGCGCAATAATATCAAGTTGATATTCTCTGCCAAATTTAAACTCGAATTTCAAGCCATTTTAGATATAAATATATAATATCGTTTATTTATTAAAACAACGATATAATTATTATAAAAAAATTGTCATATTTTTAATTTCTTATAAAAAGAAGAGGCAAACAAAGAAAAAAGATAAAATATATGTATTTTAAAAGTATATTCTTTTATTTCTATGTAATAGAAATATCTAACTTACATTTCTATTACATAGAAATGTAAGTTAGATATTTCATCAAAATTGTATTTTTCAAAATTAATATTACTAATTTTAACGATTTAAAATATATTCAAATTTATTGTCTGGAAAACTTTGATTTTTTAGTTATACCGTTGTTGTAACAAATGAGCGATGCATCCACTGCTGATGTAGTTTGCTACAGTTTCCAATTTTATTTCATTGTACTCTCTAGGTTCTATCTCCAAATTTCTATAGTATGTAATATCGAATCATCGTAACATTTTTTTTTAATAAAAAAAGTCGCGCAGAATAATGTAATATCTACAGTCACGAAAAACAGCACAATATTTACACATTATCTGAAGTCTAAAGAGATTGATAGAACACGGAAATGGAACAATACTGAGAAAATTTTATCCGGACATTTTATCTCAGCAGCTTTATTCTACAGTAAAAATTATTTATACTCTCTTTTAATTCCCTCTTACAAGCTGCCAATAATTTCTGTGTTATTTTCGATTGTATTGAAAACAAATTAAATCAAAACAGCTTCGGTTGCTGTACACCTTGCATATCTCTATATTTCTCTCGCGAACGTGCCTTGCCCGTAAGGCAACTGACATAAAAACGCAGTGCGAACAGCAAGGGAAGATCGTTGCATGCGTATCATACCAATTGTATATCTCAATGTTTGTTCGTAGGAGGGTCAGCTGACAAAGAGCGATACGTACATTTACTAGGACAAATTGGCGTCCGACAAGCCCTGTAGGTACATTGTACGGAGTATGTCACGCTGCTTACATACATAACGTAATTCGAGACCTACTACAAATAATGTTCACTCGCGCAAGGGATGCCGAACTCGAGCTCGTAAAGTTAAAACAATCTCAATATCTTCAAATTAACATAGTATTTATGTGCTATTCTCTTGCAAGTTATTTTCCTGCTTATGTAAAGCCTCTGTACTTTATAAAAGTTACTTCAATCCCGATAGAAATGTACTAGCACATATCTTATTGCCTATTTAAATAGATTTGCTTAATAGAAAAAGAAATTATTCATCTGCTAAATAATTTTGAAGTATCAAAGTTACAACACATTATGTCGCATGATATAGCTTTATGTTCATTACATTAAAATGATCGTTTTTTTTATGTCATCACATAAATGACCGTTTTTTTTTTTATCCAAATATACTCCAGTCGTAAATCTTGGCCTATTGTGGTCTACTATAATCGTCGCTCTTGCTACGTACGACAAGAAGAGCTTCGAACCAATTAGGCAGCATCGAGTATACTAGTTCGAACAACAATCCTCTCTCAATTCCGAACCACGCAGTTTAATATGTATAAAGCGACTAAGCATGGAGCATGATAACACTTATCACGATTATACTTAATCTTAACTATTGATGAGCTGGGAATAAGAGGATTAATTAACGGACTGTTTAGCAACGAATAATCCGCAAGCATTCGTAATTCTCTCTCAGCCCTTCAATAAGATGGATATGTTAAGTTAGCACCCCAACTATAGTACTCAAAAGTTCTGATTACAGTTCCCACTTCCTTTTGACGAGACGAAGAGTTCCCTATAATTAATAACAAGAATTCCGCTCAATAAACATTCCTTTTACATTTTTTAAAAATGGGGTGCTAACTTTTTATCGAATTTCGAGGTGGAATAGTTCTGAGCGGCTTAATAGCTTCAATTTGCGATTGCCTAGAGTTCCTGATATGTAAAAAAAATTTTCAAATATTAAAAAAAAATTAAAAATTTTTGAAAAATTAATTTTTAGATACAATAGTTCTGATGATAATTCCTGCTTCTTTTTGACGATACGAAGAGTTCTCTACGATTTTTAATGACATATGCGCTTAATAATCATTTTTTAATAATTTTTTAAAAATGGGGTGCTAACTTTTTAACGAAATTCAAGGTCGCATAGTTTTGATCAGCTTAACAGAAGTATTTTGTGAATACCTAGAGTTCTTGATACATAAAAAACATTTTTGAAGAATAATAAAGTTTAAACGAAATAATAGAAATCTTTGAAAATTTTTTTGAGAGTACCAAATAGTTCTGAGTTGCGTTCCTTATAGTACTCGACGAGTTCTATCGAAAACTGTAAGGTGGAAAAGCGATTGGACGGTTTGCAAGATACAGCGACATTTGCCAGAAGATCAACAATTTTTAAAGTGAGTATATCTCGGAAACCGTTGGTCCAATCGCTTTGAGCCCTGATACTTTTCGATAGAACTCGCCGAGAACTGTACAGAACTCCGATCAGAACTACTCGGTACTCCCAAAAAATTTTGACTTCAAATTTTTTTCGAAGTCCCACGTCGGAAAATTTTTTGAGAGTACCGAGTAGTTCTGAGTAGCGTTTCTTATAGTTCTCGACGAGTTCTATCGAAAACTGTGAGGTGAAAAAGCGATTAGACCAACGGTTTGCAAGATACAGCGACATTTGTCAGAAGATCCACAATTTTTAGAGTATATCTCGGAAACCATTGGTCCAATGGCTTTTTCACCTTACAATTTTCGATAGAACTCGTCGAGTACTATAAGAAACGCTACTCAGAACTACTCGGTACT